TCTGCTAAGTATGATGGGGCACGCCTGCAATCACAACTATTGAAGGGGTGGGAGGATTGCAAGTTCCAGACCAGTCTAGGTTACATAGAAAGGCCCTGCCTCAAAAAAAATAAAGAAAGGGTACGGATGGAGCTTAATGCAAATACCTTGCATTCCATCCCCGGTACCACAAATAAATAAAATAAGTAAGTAAATAAATAAATAAATGGTGCCTTTCTGTATTTAGAGAATAATTAATATTACGCAGACTATTCAGTATTTTCTCCTTTAAACAAAAGAGAGCATTTTTGTTTTAAATATCATCTTTTTCTAAGTTACTTTCATTCAAGTACTTTGGATTAGAAAATAAACCTTTTAGTAGTTGCCCTTTGGGTTTTACAGAGTGGTTATCATCGAAACAATATATAACTTTTTAAAAATGCAGGGACAGTTCCCAGGATTGAGTCTTCCAAGTGGTCAGAGTTTGCCTATGAATATCTAAACCCACCTCTCTGCTGCTCACAATGGCATCCACAAACTTGCTTTCCTCATACTAGCTGTAGCCAATTCTGAGGAATTCTGACCAGTTCCTGCCAACTCTTGCGAACTGCAACAGTGCGTGTACCATGTGTTACGAAAACACTGCGGTGTGCTCACACTATCAAAAGAAAAAGTCAGTTAGTTTAAACTATTTTTAAAAATATTCTTTAGAGTTTCTATGTTTTCCTTCATGAATCCCTTTCTTGAAAATACCTTGAAATTTTTTAGTGACTGCAAGGCAGCTCTCTCTCATACTTACAGTAATTTCTTTTTATAATGTTCATTAGGTGTTCCTTCTTCACTATCTAAATTGGGTGGAATATTTTCCTTCTGCTAACTCAAAATTGGTAGAAGTGAAACAAACAAATTTTAGGTGTATTTTAAATATTGCTTTTCATGAAATGCTACTAAATAAATTAAATATTCAACCAAATATATTACAGTACATTGTATGGATGAGAACTGAAGAAACTAGTTAAGAAAATGAAAGGAGGGATGCAGATTTGATGCTGCATTATTACACTTTTTAATCTTTTCTATTTTTCTGAAAATAGAAATTTCATTTGGTAGAACACCATTCTGGTTTTTTAAATAACAATAAATTAGCTTTTCAGCTAATACAAGGAATATAGTCCTTCTTCTTACCCATACAAATTATAGCTTTTAAATAGAAAACTCCTCTGTTTTGGTTTATTTCCCACAATCACAATTCTATTGTATGCCATAAAATTGTCACTTATCTTCTTGACAAAATTGTTAGATGCTTTTTCCATTTTTTTCTAAAAAATATATAATTATAAATTTTAACTACCTTGCTAATTTGGAAATATTATCAAGAGATGTAATGAAAATAGTAGTTTATGGCAATATAGAAGTACCTACTGAAATTATACTCACTTAATTATACGATCGTTCGTATGTTGTAACAAGCTTTTAGAACAGGACTGGCCATTCTGGCCAGAGTCAAACCATCAGAACCTTTATAGGAATTAGATCACACCTGGACACGTGGTTCCACCATTGCTTTTTGCCAGTGTTCTCTTTGCAGTCCTTCTAGTCTCAACTCACAGTGGAACTGTTCTTGCATGAACCCACCCACTAGGTCTCCACATTTCCTGTTTAGCTAAGTACACCAATGGGTAATCTGTATCTCATGGAAATTGAATTAAATAGTGCCGGTAGAGTGTTTGGCATGTTGCCTAGAACATAAAACTCATATTCAATAAATAAGACTATTCATGGGCTCTCTTAGTACTATTACAGTATTTAATCAAATTTTTCTGCCATAACCATAATTAATAGGTACTCCTATTTTCCATATGAAAAATGAAGAACCTGAGGACCTCAGATACTAATTAACTTGCACAAAGCTACACAGGTACTAAGGAGCCTAACCCAGAGTTTTACTTTCATGTGGAGGATTTTGTCCTTAGATTTCCAACCGGGAAGTCCTGACTATGAGGCTAGTAGTAATTAGTATCACAGCTGTATAGAAATCTTTACCTATATTTAGTTTCTATTTTCAAGGTAAATTTTTAGACTCTTTTAACAGCTGTTATAGGGAGTAGTTATACTAACAGGAATTAAGGACATCTTTATAACTCTTAAAATTTAAGAAGCAATGTTAATGACCACAAATAGACTTACGAGTGTATACGAGTGTATCTTAACAAAATGTATACGAGTGTATCTTAACAAAATGCTTATAGATGTAGGTAACGTTTAAATGTCAGGACCAAATTTAAAGATGTGTCAAGTTTTGATCATTTTATATGTTTAAGGTCTCAATGAATATTCTATAAAAGAGAGCACCTATTCATTACCTTGTATATATTAAATTTATATAGTGTTATTAAACTTACAGTTTTAACTCTATAAATTTAACTTGAAAGCTTATACTCACAGCATATATACATATAAATATATATATACACTCCCAAATACATGTTATGTCATAAAATAAAGTGATAGTTGTTTAACCAATCATGAACTGATTATTGAAAACATTTTTTAGGTTAACATTCAAATATCATCTAACTCTTAAAGCTCATTTTTCAGTAACCAAAAGCCTCCAGATGAGAACACAAGAAAGTATTTTAGTAAATTATAGAGCTTTAGCTTTTAAATCTAGTTTTGTAAGTTTAATGAAGCATATCTTAACACCTTAAGAGCCATATTGCTTTAAACATAGAAAACTTAACATTTTAATTATAAAGCCAAAATAATTCCTTTAGATAACTCATTGTGACAGCTGACACTTTTAAGCTATGTATATGAAATTTGACCAAAGAAAACTCTTTAGCTACTATACACTGATAATAATAGACATTCCATTTATAACACTGATTCTTTGTATTATCTTGCATTATCTGACAACCCGAATGGAAATATGTTGCTAACTTTCAAGACATCTTTACTGTTAGCAATGAAATTAAATTAGCTGTTCTGAGAGAAATTATGGCAAAAGAAGGGCAGTTCTCCTGGAACTAGGGCTGTGGCTATCCCTTAATACCTGCTGGTATTAAATCCAAGGGGCCTAGCAATGGTTTCTGCACTATCAATGAACTCATCTGTGGTATAAACCAGTCAACCGGTGGAGCAGCATTCCTGAGGGGAGAGAAGAGCTCCTGGATTTCTAGGAAGGATCCCAAATAGGGTGGCCACCAAGGCCCTTTGGCAGGGGTAATTTATACAGCAAAGTCACAACGTGGGTCAAACTAGGATCACTCTATGCTTAGCTAATATTGATCCAATAGGGAATGGAGTCACATAGCAAGGGTACATGGTAGGGTACATTTTTAGGAAGGTAATGAGCAGGTTCTCTGGTCACCTACCTGGGTCCCTGATGCCTACCTGGGTATGCTGGACCAGGTGATGCTAATTACAGTGCCCCTTAGGGAGTCGTGTAGGCCTGGCCATTGCGTCTCCATCTTGAGGCCTGGTCTTCAGATCCGCCTGTAGTCACAGTCCTAACTTTTTGTATTGTTTTGTGCTCACTTCCTTGAGAGCCCAATCCCTCCCTGACTCTATGTTAGTTTCTATCTAACTTAGCTGCCTGTGATAACTTGATATTTCCTAGTAAGCATAGACCCTTTTTAAAAAGGTAGATTAGCAAGAGCAAACAAACAGAACCTTCATGACGTGCATACCCCATGCATATGTTGGAGACACCCCAGAAAACAAGAGGAATCTTAAGGAGGTAGCTTTGAACTTAAAGTTAAATGTAGTGGTCCCCTCTTACCTGTGGTTTTGCTTTCCATGGTTTCAGCTACCCAGTCAGCCATGGTCTGTAAATATTAGTCAGAACTTCCGGAAATAATTCATAAATTCTGAATTAAACACCATTCTCAGTACTGCGGTGTGCTTTAACCCAGCTAGGACATGAGTCATCCTTTTGTCCAGCATATCCAGGCTTGTGTGCCACACCTGCCCATTAGTCACTTAGTTGATCTCTGCAGGCCGTTGTGATCCCTCAGTGCTTGCATTCAAATAACCCTCATTTTACTGAGTAATGGCTCTGGAGCATAAGAATAGTGATACTGACAATTGAATGTAAAAAAGGGAAACCCAAAAGGGCTTCCTTTAAATAAAGTGAAACTTCTTAATTTAACAAGGTCTATAGTGAGAGTAAATCTTCTACTCCTGAAAAAAAGAAGAAAAAAGAAATCAGTGCTAATTTTCAAACAGCAAAGTTCCAGCCACATTGTGTGATAAAGGGGGTGGAAATGGCATTATATGTGTGTACGGATGCACAGGAACAATACAATATATGCAGGATTCTCTACTCTGCATAGTTTCGGCCATACTCTGGAGGTCTTGTAAAGTAGCCCTTCAGATGAGGGCTTTCCCTACTTTATAGTACTTGATACCTATGGAAATAAAGAAAGAACAGGAGGTAGAGCCAGTGGCAAGAATGTTACCAGGAAGAGCCCAGAATGCACAGACTGATGTTTCAGCTCTTGATTTAAGTCAGTGCCTTCTCCACTGATCAGTCTCTTATGATTCAATAGTCTTTCTTTACTGATACCATGAGGGAGATACCCTCACAAATGCAAATTTCTTTGTAGATACAAATTTCCCTTACAAAAGAGTAACTTCTACTTTATTTTCAGAGTTTCTTCTGTATTTGCGGTTTCCCAAAATTTTAAGCTCAAAATAATCCTTGTGCCAAAGAGGCATATTTTAGGGTGGACTATTCTAGCCCTCTACAACGCATACAAATGTTTTAAAACTAGAAGACAAGCTAAACTAGAAGTTTTCTTTGCTCACTTCACCGAAGATTCACCAAGTGTTTGATGTTTATCTTGAGAGCACAAGAACAGCGTTCATTCATTTCTGGACTAATTAAATACAGCTTCTTGCATATATATGTAATCATACTTGGAGCTATTTCATGATTAGCCTAATAGTCAAAAAACTAGATTAAATATGGAAAACCGAGTTATGCATTGCATGAAAAGGATGTTATCTTGTCTACACAGCGCTGGAGAGCATGGAAGGATATTACTATAGGGACAATGTTTCAGTGGAAGAATTTCAAGCCCAGATAAACGCAGCCTCACTGGAAAAGGTCAAACAGTACAACCAGAAGCTCAGGTATGTGATCCTTAGTTTTCAATTTTTTTAAATAAGTTTCTGTATTTTGAGCATATGAAAAAGTTTTGTGACATTTTTATGAGGTGACTATTCATAATGATATTTATTTTGATATAAATTCTTCTTATACAATGTTTAATGTTGCAGATATCCTAATGGCTACACATGTTCCAAATAAAAATAATCAAGAAAACCTGTTTTTGAATTTTTCATGTTATTTTGTTTCTAAAGAAGATAAAGAGAGGGGTTAAATACATAGTAGACCATTTCCAAGGGAAAAACCTTGACATTTTAGTCCACACAGAAGCTTGGTGAATTACGGATGAATAGATTCCTTCCTGTGCTGTTTAACAGCCAGCACCTTCTCCCAAGGAGAAGAGTATGCTTCACATGAAGATAGGACAGACCTTGTGGATGGTACTGGAAAATGTTATTCTTTCACATAGATGTATTGATACTTGCACTTAACGTTTTTTCCTCTAAAAATAGTGGATGGTAGACAGCAGGGAAAATGAACCACAAGCAGTAGAAGGAAAATGGACTCAGAAGCTTTAAATTTCAGTATTTATTAGTATACATAGCTTCCTTGTATTTTACAAATTATCTTATTGACTGATCCATATTTGAAATTACTTGACACACTTCTATTGGTTTATTTATTTATTTTTTACCATATGGGGATCCAGCTCAAAACCTCACACATGCCAGGCAAGCACTCTTTCACTGAGCTGTATCCCCAGTTACAAGACTTTTATTTTAAAAGAGAAATATTTTTATTTGACCTTGAGTTCTAATAATTCAGAAAATGCCCTGTGGTAGTTTTGAATTTTTGTTTATGCTATGGCCAAATTGTGAGGATAAATCAATTTCTAAAATGCCCAACAGCTCATATGTTGCTTCTGACCAGGGAACAGGCTTTCTTCCACTAAGAGTGCTTTGTCTCTTTCCCCTGTCTCACGGACCTGTCCTGTCTCCTAGGTCCTCTGCTTCCTCCATCGTCTTACCATCTTCTGAAGCTCTCAGACTCAAGTCCCGAAGATCTTTTCTGATTAATTTTCTCTTCCTCTTAAAATAGTTGATCCTGATGACACTGACTACCCTGTTACCTTTATAGATCATTATTTCTCAACAGCATGTAATAAACTGACTCATTTCACAAGAAAGAAGAAAAATAACCTTTAATTCTGACAAATACGTCTCCTGAGTAACAGTGCCTTATGCAGCTCAAGTTCAATCTTTGAAAATCTTTCAGTTGCCAATTTTGTCATAGAACAGAAGTTACCTTCCTAACTGATAAAATGTATTTTTCAGTTACCTTTCAATGGAGAATCCAGAATTACAGCCTGTGTGTAGAATACACAGCCCTGAGCATATGTCCTTAGATACCAGTTTGAGAAAATAAACAGTGTGGCAGCATCTTGACTAATCTCCCAGTCTCTGAGCACTGATGTTATATTAGTCTCAGGATTGAGCTTCCATAGCATGTCTGACCCGTAGGATTCAGTGTCCTACTTTAGTAGATTCACCTTCATAAGATAACTTTTTAAAAAAATGTTGATGCTGAGGTGAATATGGGCACTAGAATTTTTAGAAGCCCCCAGGAGATTTGAATTTAGAGGATTATCAGAGGGTAATTCCCAGCATCAGTGTCGTCTGTAAACTTGCTAACCACTCTTGCGTGGGCCCAGAAATCTGAGTTGTAGCAAGCTTTTGTGATTATTCTTTCACGTAGTCAAATTTCAGAACCACTGTCTCACACCTAGGTGAGTATCAGATCCTAGCTTTTCATTTTACTTTATGATTATTATTGAATTCAGTTTTTCATCTTCATAATACAAATAGGTATAGAATGTTTTCATCTTATTTACAGTATAAGTTCTTCAAGATGAGTGATAAATTTATCTTGGTCTACCCCATTGTGTTTATCAAGGTGCTTTTGCATAAAAAACTCTTCAGAAATGTGTGTTTAGTTACATTAAAGTACTTAGGTATAACTGGCAAAAGAAAAAAGGATTTAACATACCATTCTTAACCTTATGGGCCTTTTATTAACAGAAACGTATATTTATATGAAAGAAATACCTGATAAACTGTTTATTAATGGTTCTTTATGAATAAAATAGCACGTGACTAATAACATGCTATTCTATTCCAATAATAAAACATTTCAATGTCACTTGCCTTGAGAAAGCATTTTTAAACTTATAACCTGGTAGTACTATTGAGTGCCCTTGTCAGCAATAACCCACTGTTGTGTATTAGATTTCCTTTGCACTGGAAGGTAATTCTCTTCCTCCTAATTTCCAATTCTGCATTCTCCTCCTGCTTATTTCCTGAATAAGGTGCTAATTAACCCTTAATGCTTTTGGTTATTGTATAAGCTCAAATGCTTCTAAATTTCTCACGCACAAGCTGTGATGGTTTGCACAGCCACAAGCCAGCAGCACTGCCATTTCCAGGGGCACTTACTGCTCCTCTCAAAAACTAGCCCCGAGGTATCAGTCTGACCTTATAATCCTGGTGGCCTTTTTCACACTTTGACTGGACACTATTCTATCCTGAACATAAACTTATTTACTAATTGGAGGCCAAAAAAGACCTTTTTTAAAATCCCCCTTAGATTTACAACAAAGCTGTTTGACGAGAAAGCATTCTTTAGATTACAAGTGTATCTCAAACTTGCATAAACAAAAATAATGCATTGGCACAGCTAGATCTGGCAGGTATGAGTTCCTTAGCATACCGTTTCTCTTGCCATTTTTTGATGCTCCTTTCCTCTGTGTGGGATTCATTTTCAGCTCCATTTTTGCTTCCTGTCTGTGTAAAGATGGTCACTACAGACCAGTGTTACGTTTTCAAAAGAGAAGGTGCTCCCCACCAGCATCAGCAAAAGACCCAGGGAGGTGGTCATTAGCCAAAGCCAGGTCACTTGCTCTTTCCTGAGTGGGCTCAGCAAAACTGACCAGGGCAGGATGCTGGACAAGCAGAAACCAAGGGCTCCATGCTTCACAGAGAGATTGCTTCAGAAGAACGAAGGATAGACGGAAGTAATTTTCTACTTACAAGGAAATGAGAATCAAAATTTTATAAATAAATCAAGAGACAGTCACAACACTGTACCAGGTGAATTGTGTGGAATGCTTAAAAACCTACTGAGTTCCATGTTGGCATTTCCATTTTTTATGGAGAAAAGGTAAAGCAAAATTTCAGAAGAAAATAATAGGAAAATAACAACAGTTAATACGTTACATGTTGTTATCTTTAAAGTAGTTGCTCAGGGTAAAAGATATGGGCATAAAAATTTCTCCAATGGAGATTAGCACACACCTTCCTTTTCAATGAGCTAAGAGACACTAATAGTATAACTGACTTGTATTTTTTCCCTTTTCCCCACTGTCCTATCCTCTTTCAACCATTGTAGTTCCTTTTTCCCTTTGAACATTTTTTTCCCATTTCACAATATCTATTGTACATTTTAGAATTTATTTACTCTTTCAGTTTCTCACACCAGGGAGACAGTATGATGTTTACACATGTGAGTCTGATTTATTTCACTTATAAGTATGGTCTCAGGTTGCATCCAGGTACTTATAAAAGTCTCAAGCTTATCCTTCTTTTGACTGAGTAATACTGTATTGTATAAAATTACCATTTTTTAAATTCATTCTTTGGTTGATGGGCATTTCACTGAAACATGTTCACTGGAAGAAAGATGGCCTCTTTAATAAATGGTCCTGGAAAAACTGGCTCTCTACATGCCAAAGACTAAAACTAGACCCATATCTGTCACCATGCACTAAAGTCAAAATGCATCAAAGATCTAAATATTAAACAGAAACAATAGATCTACTGGAAGAGAAAGTAGGTAGAAATCTTGAAAACATAGCTGTAGGCAGAGAGTTCATGAACAAAACCCAGACTGCACGGGCGATACTTCAAAGAATCAACAACTGGGATTTCACCTTATGAAAAAGCTTTTGCAAAGCAATGGAAATCACCAACAGAATAAAAAGACAACCCACAGAGTGGAGAACGATCTTAGCCAATTGCCCCTCAGACAAATGATTTCTATCTAAAACATATAAAGAAGTTTAAAAGATCAGATATCCCAAATCCAAAGAACTAATCAAAAAATGAACAACTGGGATGAATACACACTTCTCAGATGAAGAAATACAAATGGCAAATAAATGCATGAAAAACTTTTCAACATCACTGGTCATTTGAGAGATGCAAATTAAAATAACACTGAGATCCCATCTCACCCCAGAAAGAATGGCTGTCATCAAGAAATCAACCAATAACAAATGCTGGAGAGATGGTGGAGAAAAAGGAACCCTTCTCCATTGTTAGTGGGATTGTAGACTGGTCCAACCACTGTGGAAATCTGTGGAGATTCCTCAAAAGCTAGGATTGCAGGTCCCATTTAACCAAACTATTCCCCTTCTGAGAATCTTCCCAGAAGAATTAAAAACATCATGCCACAGTGATACATGTGCATACATTTATGGCAACACAATTTGTAATAACTAAATCTTGGAAGTATTTTCACTGTAAGGCGAACTTAAGGTTACCTAGGTAATAAGTGGTTAAACCAGGTTTTAAATCCAACCCAGCTTTTTTTTCATTAATGTCTGTATTTTGTACTATATAAGGCCATCCAAGTGAAGAGAATGAATGCATGTTTTACACAGAAAATGTACACAGACAAAAAATTCTCTGTTACTGTATATTGGTGTCATATATCACCCACTGCCCTCAATTACTCTGATTCTAGACCAGCAGTCATTCCTTCATTCAATGTACCAGAAGTTTCCTTTTTTTGTTAGAATGGATAAGATAAGAAATAAAAAGGTGAATAAATCATAAACAAAATATTTAAGATCATGAAAATTATAGGGAAGGAAATAAAAAACAAATGGATACCAAGAAGTTGATAATTGAAAAGAAGAAGTTAAGGAAATCATTAGATAATATTTGAACATTAACCTGAATCAGAA